TCCTTCTTAAATTGTGTGACCCAGAACTGCACGTAGTATTCAAGGTGAGGCCACACCAATGCTAAATACAGCGGGATAATCACCTCTTTTGACCAGCTGGTTATACTGTGTTTGATGCATCCCAGGATGCAGTTTCCCCTCCTGGCTGCCAGGGCATGCTACTGACTCATATTGAGCCTGCTGTCAACCAGCACCCCCAGATCTCTAAATTCCTATGCCAAGAGCATGCCATTCATAAACCAGAAGATACCTCTGTTTGTAGTTATGTGCAACATTTGAGTCATACGATGGGGTACACAACAACATAACAAGACTATGATGTACTTTTCACATGACTAGTAAGGTCTCAGTTTGTAGTCCTCGAGTGCTTTCATCAGATGCTACATAGCCCCATTGCACAGAAAAGGTTGGTGCCACACTGCTATTCCCTACTCTTAACTTTCAGTAATGGTGGGCAAAAACTAGAGGGATAGAAAAACTGTGCAGAGTAAAACTGTTTTCAACCATTCAGAATTAGGCTAAGATCATGTACTGTCTATGTTCCACAGAGCACAAATGAGACGTCTAAATATATAATAGAATAAAAGGAAAACAATAGGATCACAAGGTTACACAGTATGGCAAAACATTGTCGTGGTTTAGCCTCAGCCGGCAACTAAGCACCACGCAGCCGCTCACTCACTCCCCCTCCTGCAGTGGGACGGGGGAGAGAATTAGGAAAAAAAAACTCGTGGGTTGAGATAAACACGGTTTAATAGGACAGAAAGAAAGAAGGAAACAACAATGATAATACCAGCAAAGGAATGTACAAGAACAAGTGATGCCCAATACAGCAATTGCTCACCACCCAGTGATCGACAGCCCGTCCCCGAGCAGCGATTTCCATCCCCCGGCCAACTCCAGTTTATGTACTGGGCATGACGTTGTATGGTAGGGAATATCTCTTTGGCCAGTCTGGGTCAGCTGTCCCAGCTGTGTCCCCTCCCAGCTTCCCGTGCGCCCCCAGCCTGCTCGCTTGAAGGCCAGCACAAGAAGCTGGACTGTCCTTGACTGCTCAGCAACAACCCAAAACATCCGCACATTATCAACAGTTTCTCATCCCAAATCCAAAACACAGTCTCACACTAGCTTCTGTGAAGAAAACCAGCTCTATCCTGGCTGAAACCAGGACAATTTTATAAAATACACTTACACTACCATACAGTTTTCAAAACAATTCATTACATCTGAGGCACCAATATCCACAGATCAGTTTGTGAGCTTCTAAAAACTGAGTCTTATGTAATAAACGTCTTGATATCAAATTCATTATATAGGTGGTCACTTGGGAAAAAAACACCATGGAGCTGGAGAGGTTGTAATAAGAGCGAGCTTCAGCTCAGAAACAGAACTAGAAAAATAGACTCAGGATGACAGATTAGGATAAATGCTATCAGGCAGTGGAAAGAAAAATTACACTTTTCTGAAGACAGGTAAGTCTACAGTACTGACAAAATTCCAGGGCAATAATATTATTCTATGAATTATATCCAGGAAAAAAATACTGTTTTCAGGAGGGAGAGATCCAATTGTCAACAGGGGAATGAAAAGGTAGGTGAAATGGTTAATTTTTAGCAAGAAAAATCAGCAATTCAGGACTATAAATCAAAACCAGGTGTTTTGTCCTAGGCACCAAATAAGATGATGTCTTTAAGGGTTAACTGTTAAGAGATGACAGACATTCCTTACCTTAGCAAGAATATGTTTGTCCTTTATTATGTACTCATAAGTAGTTAAAAGAACATTAAATTTTCCACTTCGAAGCTGAGGAACAAGTGAGCGGCGTATGGCAGGTGTCCCCTAAAAGAGAGGCAAAGGATGAAGAAAACAGATATACCTATATTTCTATGCAGTACAGTCATGAATTAGCAGAGAAAGAGCCAATATATGAACTTGTAATCCTGCAAAATCATACAAAATATATCTATATATTCCATACTCCTTCAAGAGTGGTTTCCCTAACCAGCTGCTGGATTGTAAAGCTCTGTTTATATGGGAATGGAAGCATGCAGCCAGCAGTCTAGTCTCCTTACTAACTGCTTGACTTTATAGGAACTACAGTAGTCAGAAACCAAAATATTCAGCTGTATACAAAATGTGCAGTATTTATAGTTTGCATTGCTCTCAGCAAAACCTTGCAATATGGTATTTAACAATGTCATTCTGCATTTCACTAACTGAAGGCAATTACAGTTAATTACAGTAATCTTGGGATGATTAACTCTCATGTTTTATTCTTTCAGCTTTATGTTCATATAAAAAAATAAATCAAACCTTGTAAGATATTTTCACCACAGAAGGAGCCCATTTGTCAAATTCGTATGTCCAGTTGGATAAAGTTCTAAATACAAGATTAATAGGTTAAAATAATATGTTTCATTATTTATTAAAAACAAAAAGTTAAACTTCATAATTATGCCATCTGTTTCCCACTGAATGCTGGATTCTCACCACACGTTACACGCACTATAATAAACAGTATAGCACATAATATATTGTATCAGGTGTGCTGGTTTTGTCTGGGATAGAGTTAATTTTCTTCATAGTAGCTAGTATGGGGCTATGTTTTGGATTTGTGATGAAGTGTTGATAATACAGGGATGTTTTCATTACTGTTGAGGAGTGCTTACACAGCGTCAAGGCCTTTTCTGCTCCTCACACTGCCCTGCCAGCGAGTAGGCTGGGAGTGCACAAAAAGTTGGGAGTGGGACACGGCTGGGACAGCTGACCCCAACTGACCGAAGGGTTATTCCATACCATATGACCTCATGCTCAGCAATAAAAAACTGAGGGAAGAAGAAGGAAGGGGGGGACATCTGGTATTTGTCTTCCCAAGTAACCTTTACGTGTGATGGAGCCCTGCTTTCCTGGATATGGCTGAACACCTGCCTGCCCATGGGAAGTAGTGAATGAATTCCTTGTTTTGCTCTGCTTGCATGCATGGCTTTTGCTTTACCTATTAAACTGTCTTTAACGCAACCCATGAGTTTTCTCACTTTTCCGATTCTCCCCCCCCATCCTGCTTGGGGGCAGTGAGCGAGCAGCTGTGTGGTGCTTAGTTGCCAGATGGGGTTAAACAACAGCACAGGATATATGTATCTTTATTTGAGAGGGGAGGAAATAGAAATAAAGTGGGGAAAATGTCTCTTCCCCTTATATTCAGGGATCCCTTTCAGACCAATTCAGCAAAGTATTAGAAGTATACCTTTGTATTGTGACACATATTAAGGGGAAGATATACCTACAGAGACTTATGTGTCATTGTAAGCTGATTGCCTCTCATAAATTGAGCCTCCCACTTTTCAGATATAGCCACATGAAGTCTACAGTAAAATACATCTGTATTCAGCTGTAATGATATACTATTGCCACTAGGCAGGTTTGGTTTTGCACTGTGTGGTTTCAGCTTTATGATCACAATAAATAGTCTTTAAAATAGGTAAAAGTGTGTTTGCCAGTATCATATGGGAACAGAAGATAACCTTTTTGTTTGTGAAGTCATTGGACATACCAAGGCAGCATCTACCCGATCCAATGTTCATCTTGTTGGGGCACAAGAGAAAGAAGAAAGAGTTTTTCAATAACTGAAGTCACTCAAGTGTCAGCTTCTCTCTTCTAGAAACTCTAAAAGGTTCCTAGAATGGGGAAAACTACAGGCATGTAATATATAAAAAAAAGTAGCATTCCTCTCTCGTGGCTGATGTGAGGAGTAAGTAAGAGTGAAGTAGGATATACTATATAGCATGCCAGTAGAGTGAACAGCAAAATTAATGAAACAAAGTGATTTATCAGCCATCTGGTCACATTTCCAATGCTAGACAATCAGTTAGGAAGAAATAATCACTCAGTGCAATTCCAAGATGTGCCTCATCTTGTCATTGTGTGAAAAAAAAAGTACATGTTGCTAAGAAACTAAACTACAATACTGTCGTGGTTTAACCCCAGCTGGCAACTAAGCACCACACAGCTGCTCACTCACTCCCCCACGGTGGGATGGGGGAGAGAATTGGAAAAGTGAGGAAATTTGTGGTTTGAGATAAAGACAGTTTAATAAGTGAAGCAAAAGCCGTGCACACAAGCAAAGCAAAACAAGGAATTCATTCACTACTTCCCATGGGCAGGCAGGTGTTCAGCCATCTCCAGGGAAGCAGGACTCCATCACGCGTAATGGTTTCTTGGGAAGACAGACGCCATAACTCCAAACGTCCCTCCACACTTCCTTCTTCTTCATCCCAACTTTATATACCGAGCATGATGTCATATGGTATTGAATATCCCTTTGGTAAGTTGGGGTCAGCTGTCCTGGCTGTGTCCCCTCCCAGCTTCCCGTGCACCCCCTGCCTTCTCACTGGCAGGCCAGCATGAGAAGCTGGACAGTCCTTGACTGCTTAGCAACAACTGAAAACATCAGTACGTTATCAACATTTTTTCAACCCAAGTCCAAAACATAGCCTCACACTAGCTTCTATGAAGAAAATTAACTCTATCCTGGCTGAAACCAGGACAAATACACAGAATAATAGCAGAATGAGTTTCTTTACTTACGAAAGAGGAACAATGATGAGATAGGGGCCGTTGAGTCTTTTGTGCTCCATCAGATAAGTGATGAGTGCAATAGTCTGTATAGTTTTTCCTAATCCCATTTCATCAGCTAAAATTCCATTCAAATTGTTATTATAGAGTGAAACCATCCATTCCAAGCCTTGGAGCTGAAACGAATAATCATTTCAGTTATTTGAAATCCACAGAGGTAGGCAGTATCAATATTACAGAAGTGAGGTTCTTATTTCTCTTACTACTTAGATGCTGTTTTTCCTTCCACAGTACTATGTGCATGCAGTTCCCAATATGTCTTGGAAAAGCTGATATGACTTACATCTATATGAAAGTCATCACTGCTATTTAGAGCCAGTACGGCCCATGCTGCAAAGTCATATTTTATACATACTGAAGTTTTTTTCTACTGTAGGCAGACTAACACTGAGGCCCATACTTCAGGTTTCTTAATACTTACCACTAAAAGATTCTATTTGTTAGACACTGTCAAATTTAAAACCTGTGGAGAAAAATTTCATGTCAGATCTCTGCCTCAACCAAAACTTTCTCACAACCAAACCTATCAAGTCTCATGCACTAGCCATAGGACTCACATTTGGTTCCACTTCATACCCCCTGGCAACTGGTGCCAGAAACTGTTCTGGCAACTCAAAGAGGATAGATCCCACTCTCCACCTGTATGGACCAGCATCTCAGCTATTAGGAGTAAACATTCCTTTGATCAAGACAGACGATATAGAGGGTACACACCATGGGCCACGCTGTGGTTTTACCTGCGTGACCACGGAGAGGACATCTTTAAGGACGCTTTCCATAGAGCGCAAGATCCCCAGGTGTAATAAATCAGGAAAGGAAAACAAGAGACCAGCATGGCTGAGTGGAGACCTGCTGGTCAAAATAAAGGCAAAAAGGAAATGCACATGCAGTGGAAGCAGGGACAGGTATCCCGGGAGGAGCATAGGGATGCTGCCCGATTGTGTAGGGATGGGGTCAGGAAGGCCAAGGAGTGGCTGGAGCTGAACTTGGCAAGGGGTGCAAAGAATAATAAGAAGGGCTTCTACAGGTATGTCAGCCAGAAAAGGAAGGTCAAAGAAAGTGTATCCCCCTTGATCACCAAGACTGGAAGACTGGTAAAAACGGATGAGGTATTCAACAGCTTCTTTGCCTCAGTCTTCACTGGCAGTCTCTCTTCGACACCTCTCAAGGGGATGGACTGCAAGATGGGGACTGGAGGAGCAAAGTCCCTCCCCCTCTAAGAGAATCATAGAATCATAGAATCTTTGGGTTGCAAGGGACCTTTCAAAGTCAGATTCGAGACCACCTGAGGAACCTGAACATTCACAAGTCTATGGGACCTGATGTGATGCATCCCAGAGTCCTGAGGGAATTTTTTTAAATTACATATTTCTGCATCCATCCTTAAGATTTACATGCAGAACTTCTTAACTTATTGAAATTCAACTATTTCTGATGAAAACTTTGCATCTTTCATGCGTATGTGCTTATGTTTGTGCAACACATTTATGTGATCTAAAGAACCTGATTATTTCACTTTGAAGAATCTGCCTTTCTGAGAAGTCAAGCGTCAATACAAATGATGCATCATTTAGTGGTTCTGTAGTATCTTGAGCTTAGTACTATTCAAAAGCAATGCAGTTTGCACATTATTTTGTTAGTTCACATGGTTTAATATTAATGAAGGGAAGAGCTACAGATGGCATCCATCTGGATTTCTGTAAGGCCTTTGATACGGTCCCCCAAAACACCCTTCTCTTTAAATTGGAGAGATATG